GAGTTTTTATTAATGTTTACTAGTATATTTGACTTGTCAAATAAGTAAAAAGAGATTAAAAGCCTTGGATGTGATTAAAAACATGTTAGAAAAAGTGGTATGATTCTTGGTTTGAGATGTTCTTTGGAGATTTTAGATGTTATAAGAAGCTAAATGAAGGAAAGTTAGTTGGGATAAGTAAAGAAGGGTTTAATAGTATTGTTGGGGTAAAAATATAGGAATTTGACCAAATTTGGGTAAAAATCAGACTGAAAAATGGAAAATATGGGTATGGGTATCGGTAATGGAAGAACAGTATCGATACTATAGGTTTAAATCTGTAGAATTTTGATTAACAGTATTGATACTGATGCAATTAGTATCAATACTGAGGTGGGTATCGATACTAGGAGAAAGGTATCGATACCATGGATTCCAGAATGCAGAAATGGTATCGATACTAAAAGGGAGTATTGCTACCATAGTATACAAGTATCGATACCAGGGTAGGGGTACCGATACTATTGAGCCTGAAATTGTATGATAGGCTGAAATTGTAATAGAAATTGAAAATAATAGTACGTTTGAGTATTATTAACAATATAAATGTTAGAGAGCATACTAACATTTGTATGGTATGTTAATTAATGGATAATAGTGTAGATCATAATCAAGCTCCCGAGTCAAGCAAGAAAATGGACAAGGGTAAAGTTGCAGAGTAGTTGGACGCCATTTCGGCATACTATGGAGGTATATAAGGTGAATGCATTTATTGTATTTATATAAAAATTAGGAAGACTAGCAATGAGTCAACTTAGAATGTTTTGATTTAATGTATATTTTACAATATCTGATATACTTTCCTTAAGTGTATAACAATGGTATTATGATTAAGATTTAGAGTATGAAATGCTCTAAAATGAATGAAGAAAAGTTAAATGTCTAACTGTGCATATTGGCATAAATGTGCTAATAATGCAAGTTAGATGATTAGTTAAATGCCTAACTATGCATATTGGCATAAAGGTGTCAATAATGCAAGTTAGATGAAAGGCCTAAATGTGCATTTGGCAGAAAGGTGTCAATAATGCAAGTTAGATGAAAGGTCTAACTGTGCATTTGGCAGAAGGGTGCCAATAATGCAAGTTAGATGAAATGCCTAATTGTGCATTTGGCAAAAAGGTGTCAATAATGCAAGTTAGATGAAAGGCCTAACTATGCATTTGGCAGAAAGGTGTCAATAATGCAAGTTAGATTAAATGTTAAATGTCTAAATGTGCATTTGGCAGAAAGGTGCTACTAATGCAAGTTAGATGAAAAACAGTGTATTTCGGCATAAACGAAGCTAATTATTAGTTTAACTAAAATGATTGTAAAGGGTTTTCATGAAGTATACGAATTATCCCGGTGTTGATAGTCATGACATGTTTATGAATAAATTGTATTTTCATTTATAGAATTATGCCTCACTAAGTGAATATTTAACATGTGTTGATTTCACACGTAGGTAAAATCCAAAGAGTAGCCGAGTAAGGAGTGCAACATCAATAACTATCATCAATTTAAGGTTGACTCATCAGTAACAGTAGGACAATCATGTTTATTTTGAAACTTAGCTGACATGTAATCGAATTTAAGAAATATGTTTAGTAATGGTTTTAAGGTGATAGATTTTAGTAATATATTTCAAGGAATGTTTTATTATTGTATCAAAATGTTTGGTTTGAAGTTCGGAAAAAAATAGTGGTGTTACAAATGAGTAAATGGTTTCATAAGTCATGTGACACCTATGACTTGTGTACGGAAACGTATACTAGAAATGAGTGTTACAAACTGTAATAGTCTGTATCTACTTTAGCATAATCAACAAAAAAATTCAACATATCTTACTAAATTTGATATGTATGTCTTAATCATTTTACAAAATTGATGCATTATTGTTCTGATAGTCCATTATTGAATCTTGTTGAACTAGACCTATAGGGAACCTATAGCTTAGTGATGACAATTTCATGTTTTCCTTTGTACCAACCTTGTTTGACACATGATTCATCAAATTGAACGATTCAATGTCTTATTCAAATGAAATTTCAAAAGATTTCGCCTCACAATACACAATGAATATTTTTGGATATATATGTCGAGTTCAATAAAATTGTATTTCTCTACACAATACATAGGACTTACACAGTAAATATTCCATTTCATACATAGTAAAGATTCCATTCTAATGGGGAACGCAATAAAGAATCCATTTCTTATGTGACTTTATTGATTTTTCTTTTCTCACATGACTCAAGTTAGCTTTGAATTGTATTGCATGTGACTTTTTCCCGCCTTTGCTTGTTAATACATATTACTTGAACAATTACCTCAATCATGAACCTTAACCTATTGCATACATTTTGATATTTAATTTTGAACTAAATTCCAGCAAAATTTTCAAAGTAAAATATCGAACCTCAAGTCATATGTATCGATATTTTTATCAAATATATCGAACATTATGTCATATGTATCAATATTTCAAATTTCAAATTGATTTCATCAATATTTTTTCACCCAAAGCATCGACCCTCAGATCAACTGTCTCGATATTTTTTTATATCGAACATTTTTTAAAGCCAAAATATTGAGCTTCATATATAGGTATCAATATTTACATAAAAAAGTATCGAACATCAGAGCATAAATATTGATATAAATGAAAAAGTATTGAACAACATAATATATGCATCGATATTTTAACTATCGATCATATCTTCATCAACTTTTTCAATATATAAAAGTATCGATCATCAGTGCATGCATATCGATATTTTAACTGTCAATCTCATTATCAACTTTTTTCAATATTTAAAAGTATCGATCATCAGCGCATAAGTTTTGATATTTTAACTATCGATCTTATCATCGACTTTTTCACTATTTAAAAGTATCGTTTATCACCGTATAAGTATCGATATTTTAACTTTCGGTCTCATCTTCAACTTTTTCAGTATTTAAAAGTATTGATCATCATAGATTAATATCTATATTTTAAATTTCGATCTTATCTTCAAATTTTCAATATTTAAAAGTATCGATCATCAAATATTAAGTATCAATATTTAAAATGTCTAACTGCCTTCTTAATTTTTTTTATCTCAATTCAATCAGAATAAATATCAATACTTCTTCAAATAGCATTCTTGACGCAACCAGATTTATCATATATATTCATAACATTTTTAGCTTTTAACATATTTAGTTACTGTGGTTATATCTAAGGTCACATCAACTTAAAATCTAGTAATATTTTAGGTACAACCAAATTTATTACTCAAAATATTAACATTCCATATCGCAACATACTTTCTTAGCGACTGATAATATTCTTGGGGGCAATCTTATTTCTTATAGATATTTAAAACATTTTTAGATTTTAATTTATTTTGTTATCATGAGATTGTCTAAGGTCATATCAGCTTAAACTTTGGTAATATTTTAGATACAACTGATTTTATTACAAAGAAAAATAACATTCCATATCGCAACCTACTTTATTAGTGAACGATAACATTCTTGGGCACAACCAGATTTCTTATAGATATTCATAACATTTTTAGCTTTTAACTTATTTTGTTACCATAGGAATGTATAAGGCCCCATCAGCTTAAACTCTGGTAACATTTTAGGCGCAATCGATTTTATTACAAAGAAAATTAACATTCCAAATTGCAACCTACTTTCTTAGTGAACAATAACATTCTTAGACACAACTAAATTTCTTATAGATATTCATAACATTTTTAGCTTTTAACTTATTTTGTTACCGTATGAATATCTAAGGTCTCATCAGCTAAACTCTAATAACATTTTATGTACAACTTGTTATGTTACTACGATTGATAACTTTTACGACTGTGAACCTAAATTCTTAAAGTCAATTTTTTCTTTGCCCATTTTACATATAACAATAACATTTTCATTTGCAACCATTATTGTTATCGATACAGATAACTTTTCTAATTCCGAATTATAACATTTTAAATTTCACTTTTAACCTGTTAACTTTCTAACTGATCACAATGTTTAATAATCTTATTTTAATCGTCTCACAATAAAACATCCTGCAAGTCGGAGTAAGAAAGAGGCTCAAAGATAGCTTTTATAATCTTTCTTGGACTATGTTTAGAAAGCTAAAATTCATGGGTCCTCGAATAAGAAAGAGGCTCAAAGATAGCTTTTAAAATCTTTCTTGGACTATATTTAGAATGCTAAAATTCATGGGTCCTTGTTAATCGCGAACCTAACTAAGTAGACCAAAAGTGCCCAAAACGAGACCAAAACTATTAGGGTGTGTTTTGTTCACGGAATGTAAAATTACCAGTGGGAATAAAAGATTATCAGGGAATAGGATTACTGGGAATGTTGTATTTTGTGTTTGGTTGGTTTAGCAGGAATGTAAGATTACTATTTTTGGTTAAAGAATAAAAGATTATTTGAATGTATATTTGACCAAATTGTCCTTATTATATATTTGTATAATATTACAAATTATAAAATATTTATATATTTTCTTTAAAAAATTCACAATATTTATATAAATATTTTTACAAAATTAAAAATATAAAAAAAGTTTAATGAAAGGGTAAATTTTTTTTAATCCCTGAACTTTATATAAAATTTTAATTATAAATTTTTTTTTGTAAATATAAAATAATTTAAGGATAAATTTGTAATTTAATCTTCGTAGAATTTTTATTATTCAATGATAGAAGAATGATATTTTTGAAAAAAAATAAAAATTTAAGGGCATTTTAGTCCAAAACACCGGTAATATTACAATACCTAAGGGAAGGGAGGTAATGATATTCCCGATAATATATCCCAAAAGTTCTACTATTTATAATAAAACAAAAATGAAATTCCCGACCAACCAAACACCACTTAAATATCTCCCCAGCCTGGAATCTAGAAACCCGCAAAGAAATGGCATCAACTGAAAACAAAAACCAGCGTACTACACCTTTATCTCTCATCTGAATATCAAATAGTTCATTAAAATTCAATTGCAAATTCTAATTTCGCAATGACTTGAGGTTTTTTGTTCTGATTTTTAAGTGTTTTCTTTCTCAGCTTCTGCTAAAAGTGTAGCTGTCGTTGGCGCTGGCGTAAGGTACGGTTTCGAATTTTACTCTCTATACATTTCTTCTAGCTCTATTTTTTTTTTCTTTTGTGTAATTTTTCTGATTATTTGATTTTGAGAAAATAAAGAAGATATTTGAAGGAAATGGAATTTGGAAATTTTAATTTGCTAATTTTACTTTTTGAAATTTGGAAATGAACTTTTTTTTCACTAAACGTGAAAGATTATTACATTTTTTGTTTTGTTTTTGGAAAATCGACTAAAATCAAGTGGACTCGCGGCGGCTTACAAGTTGAAATCACAAGGTTTATATGTTACGGTGTTTGAAGCCGAAGGAAGAGCTGGAGGGAAATTAAGAAGTGTTTCGAGGGAGGGTTTGATATGGGATGAAGGCGCAAATACGATGGTGAAAGTTCTTTCTTTCTCTCTTTTCTTTGTAAAAATAAAAATTAAACACTCTATTTAAAAATTCTAGTTCTAATTGTTAACACATTAGTTTTTTTATTTTCTTCAAAACTTACCATCACTACATCCGTACAATAAAACTAACTTAATTTTAGAAGCAAAGCATTATGAGCTCAATCTGCATACATTACCAAATCTCAAATTTTGTTAAGTACAAGGACTGAAAGCATATTTTGATCTTTCTTTTTAATTGCTTTTCTTGTTAAAGAGATGGTATATGTGCGTGTAAAATTTAAACTGCAATGATGAAGTTGCTTTTGATGTGAATGTTTAATTTATTAGTGCAGACTGAAAGTGAGATCGAAGTTAGAAGTTTGTTTGATGATCTTGGTATTCAAGATAAGCAACAAGTTGTAAGTATTTCTAATATTCTGTAGTTCTATCTGTTCCATTGTAAATGATGATTTAGGTGCTATTAGTTGTAAGTTTGTTTATTCTTCATGCAACAGTGACAGAACAGAACTAGGATTCTCAGCTCTATGGAATGAAAGTCAGTAAAATTTACTTTTTATACTTTTCTAAACTTGATAACTTATATGTAATTAAATTCCATATAAATATTTTTAAAATTAGGAACATTTTTTTTGTGTGTGTTTATTTATTTATTTATTTATTTTGTGGTGGTGGTGGGTGTTCTGACCACCCATTCCGCTCCATCGCTTTCTCCATGCTGTGCAAGATTTCTGGTTTTAGTTAAAAGCTTCAAAGTTCTTGAAGGATGATACTAAAAAGTGAGGGTAATACTTTTTTGGATTAACTTGATTATTGGTGATTTAATGCAGCCAACTGCACAGAACAAACGGTATATTGTGAGAAATGGGGTGCCTGTATTGGTATGCTTCTACCACCTTTACTGCTCTTTGAGTTTACATATTCTCTAAGTAAGGTTCTTATGGCCTGAGATATGTTGGTTCCTGGATCTAACTGTGCTCACTATCTCTGCTTGATTTGTTTTTGATGTTAGCTTCCCTCAAATCCCATTGCATTATTCACAAACAAACTTCTTTCAGCAAAATCAAAGGTTTGTTTATCAGAGCTATTTTGGACGTATCCAGTGGATAACAAAAAATGAAGTCTTGTTTTAGTCAATTAGCATATTCTGCAGTCTTTTTGAGATATTATTTTTGTATCAACAGTCATATTGTGAACTGGAGCTTGCCTTACCTTGTTGTCTTTAATTGCTTTTGTTCATAATATTCCTATATAGATTCAGTTCTGCTTTTGCAGTTCCAGATTATTTTGGAGCCTTTTTTGTGGAAGAAAAGTGACACCTCAAAAGTATCTGATGCTGATAATCAAGGAAAGGTGATAAACTATAGTTATTGATTTCATACTTCTGTTTATCTGTTTCTCTTTACTTGTGTTGTTTGAAGAAATGTCTTGTTTCTTTACCGTATATTTTTAATTTTCATGCAGTGTGGGAGGATTCTTCCAGCGCCATTTTGGGCAAGAGGTATGCTTTGCTTTCTACTTCCTTTAGTCCGTGCATGCTATATTTTCCAAAACCATTTCACCAAATATATCATCTTAGGTTTTCTTTATTTACTAGGGTTCTGCATGACATGTGAAAACACTGATACTTGACTGAATTGAAAATAAACTTGAAGATTACCTGAAACAGTGCAACAGATTGAACTTTGACGTTGATTTACTTACTGATTTTGTTTCTATAAGGTTGTGGATTACCTAGTTGATCCCTTTGTTGGTGGCACAAGTGGTGGAGATCCCGATTCTCTTTCTGTGAGTAATGCGCCATATCTTTGACTAATCTATTTAAGTGTCATGGAAGGAACATACACCTATTTTCATTCCTTTTACATAAAGAATTACTTTTTTGGCTTCTTTCAAGAGCCGTGGTCCTTGATTGAGTTGTGAAATGGCTCTTGTTGCTGATGCTTTGTTTCCATCCTTTCACTTTGTTATGTTTAAAACAGATGCGCCATTCCTTTCCAGAGCTATTTGATCTTGAGCAAAGGTTTTACAACCTTTCTTCTATTCCTCCATATCATTTTCGGCTGAAAATTTTGGAAATTTTCCTTTCAATTTATAAGTTTAGATTTGATGTTAATTTGTACCTAGACTCACTAAATTGCTTATTCCAAAAGGGAGGACTACAGGAAGTTGTTATTACTTTCCCAAGGCACTGGATGACTGATTATACACTAGTACTAGTATGAAACTAGTAGCCTGTGGTTTAGGATAACTGCTGATAAAACCACGATTAGGGACTTTCCAATTGTTATCTTGATTCTTTTGCAATTTTATATCATTTTTTTTACATGAAAAACATTTAATCTTGAACACTTAAACTATAGTTTTGGCCTCTTTGATATTTGTTTAAAGTTACAAGAGGACATTAAGATTTGCATTAGGCATTTTGGTACTTACTTTAACTAAAATCTGCCACCAATGTATGTTAAAAAACATATCTAGCTGCATCATGAATTTTTATTATCTTGATCCATTATATTCTTAAAATAGTTCAGGTTTACTGCATGTTCACAAATGATTCTTGCTTGTCAGGTTTGGCTCCATCATAGTTGGAACATTTAAATCTATCTTCTTTACCAAAAGGGAAAATCATGAAGAAACAAAAACTTAAGTGAAAAGGAAGGCTCTTCGTGGCACATTTTCCTTCCAGGGTGGAATGCAGGTAACCAACTTATGTTTAACTTCTTCTGTTATGAGCTATTTTTTTGTGCCAATTCAATTTTGCTGTATTCTTTCTATATTGAACTGACTTTAATTATTCGTTATGGAATTTACTTATTGTACTGTTTTTACAACTTTCATTTTAACCGGTATTCTTTAATGAAGATCTATATCTTGCATATTTCCTAATCATGAACATGGATTGTTTATTCAGTACCTTTTTTTCCCTCTTTACTTTGGTGGAAGCTTTATCTGAATTATTTTGTAGAACCTCTTTTTACATACTTTAAATAGCTTGATGATGGATGGAGAAATTAGGCAAGTTTTCCTCATGAAACTGTTCTATAGATAACGCAGTGGAAAATTTTCCATGAAACACATGTTAGAAAATTTCTGAACGCTGTTAAACATATGGTGGAATTTTATTAGCAATTGCAAAAATATTAAACAAAAACCTCAGTGTCATTTTTTTTACCATTTGAAATATGTGAACAATGCATTACTTAATTCCAGCCATTTGTTTACATACCTTTTCCTTATCAGATTGTTCTCAGGGTACAATTTTAATCAAAATATTGGTTATATCTGTTCTCTTAACTTCAGTAAATTTCTTATTCCCTTTTCCATTAGCATTGGTAATATGAATCAGATGTAGCCTTGTTAACTTATACTCTAATGATATTACTGCAGACCTTTTTCTCTTAAATGGTCCTTTATTTGCTGATGTATTTTGCAGACACTTGCTGATATGTTGAGCAAAAATCTTTCCGAAGACAACCTTAAACTGAAATCAAAGGTTTTATCATTATCTTACAATCATGACGGGAAATCTACATCAGACAATTGGTCTCTCTCTTATGTTTCTGATCGAGACAAGCGCTCACAAGGTTCATCATTTGATGCTGTAATAATGACGGTTAGTTGAGCTTTGTTTAGTTTACAATCTATCGACTGTAATTATTCTTATTTTCTCCTTCCAACACATTATTATCTTGCGTGCTGACAAGAATGCATGCTACGCTTTATAATTATATGTTGAAAGATAACATCATTAGCAGAAAATGAACTTGTAAATCGCAGGCTCCACTGTGCAATGTCAAAGAAATGAAAATTACAAGATACTCTTTATAATTATATGTTGAAAGATATCATCATTAGCAGAAAATGAACTTGTAAATTGCAGGCTCCACTGTGCAATGTCAAAGAAATGAAAATTACAAGAGGAGGAAAGGTCTTTCCACTGAATTTCATACCTGAGGTATTTGCTTCTGCAATTTGATTTGAGGAAAAATGCTTAAAATTAGATTGTCAGTTTCCTCCTCAATTTACACTGGAATGCATTGTGCACAAATGATTTTTATTTTTTGCATGAGCAAAAAATGCCTTATAATTTTATGGTCGTCTTCTCTTTCCATTTAAAATACAGGTAAGTTATGTGCCACTGTCCGTTATAATTACCACCTTTAAGAACGAGAATGTCAAGAAACCCCTTGAAGGATTTGGAGTTCTTGTACCTTCAAAGGAGCAGCAAAATGGTTTAAAAACTCTCGGTAATTCTTCACTATGGTACAGTGCATAAAAGATTAACTTGTATTTGTTTTCTTAGTGTGTTCTTTTCATGTATTGTCTCTTCTTCAGGTACAATTTTTTCGTCTGTAATGTTCCCTGATCGTACACCTAATGATTTGCATCTATACTACCTTTGTTGGAGGAAGTCGAAATAAGGAGCTCGCAAAAGCCTTGACGTATAGAAAAATTAATTGCTTTTTCTTTACTTCTCTTTTCATACATCATCTGTTTTGCTAACAATTCTCATTGGTAACCGTTGTTATAGAGACGAGTTGAAGCATATTGTCACTTCTGACCTTCGGCAGTTGTTGGGAGTGGAGGGAGAACCCACATTCTTGAAGTACATTAACCATTACCTTAGCATTTCATATACAACACTGCAGTCTGTTAAAATTTTAAAGTTATGTACAGGGAGTTTTGAATTCGAAATGTATATCTATGTCATCCTGAGAACTCGAAACTTTCCTAATGGCAGTCATTTCTTCTGGAGCAAGGCGTTTCCGTTATATGGCCGTAACTATTCTTCGGTATTGGAAGCCATTGAAAAGATGGAGAGAGATCTTCCCGGATTCTTCTATGCAGGTAACTGGCTGCCCATCTAGTTAAGTTTATGATATAATAACTCATCCCGAACTCTTCATTTTTCTTAAAGTATTATTGCCAGGCACATTTGAGTATAGGTACAGGTGTGGTACCATTATTTATATGTAAAAGCTTGAAATAGAAAATGAACATACAAATATCTAATATTCGTTCCTTTGTTTTGCTTGTATGGACTATGAACCAAGTCGGACGTCGGTAGGTAACCACAAAGGCAGATTATCAGTGGGCAAATCGATTGCTTCTGGGTGCAAAGCAGCTGATCATGTGATCTCATATTTGGAATCTTCACATCAGAAGCTGCTCAAATGATGGATCACGATTGATGTAAGAATTTTCAGTGTTGGTTAATTATGATGTTTTTTTTTCCTTCAAAATTTAAAAATATAAAAGGAGTTAACTGACGTGTTTCACTTTTTTAAATAGACAACGATATGGAACAAATTTCCTTTTGTTTCAAAATTTACAACCTAAAATTAGATTTTATTTGCATAATAATGAAATGCCAGGGGTGAAAAATTAAAGATTAGGTTGAACTAACTCTACCTGCTGTGATAAAAGAGGCTGTGCGGTTAAGACCTTGAGATGTAAAATTTAGATTGATAGATGCTGTTAATATGCTAATCATGGATGCCATGGGGAATAATATGAAATCCGGGGTGTTGGGGGGGGGGGGATAGAATTGTAAATGGCTACTGTAAATGCTGTTAAGATGAGGGCCTTTATTTAATGCAATTTATGAATTCAGGGTAAGTAGCTTTTGTGAAGTCAGAGGATCACTTCGTGATTTTTACAATTGGCTGGCATTAGTTTGGATACTAATATAATGAGTATGATATTTATGACCAAGTATCGATATCCTGGTCAAGTATTAATACAAAAAAATAGACATTGAAACCTTTGACCTGCGTACCGATGCCCTGCAACAAAAGTACGTAAAATTTAAGTTTAGATGTTTCTATTCATGACCTACATCTCAAATTGAATGCAACCCAGTGGAGCCGTTCTAAAACGTCATTTTCTACACAGAAATCAATCCATGAGTTCATTTCCAACATTAAGGAAGAATTTAGAATGCTATGCAAAATTATGCAACTTAAATTTTGATATAATCTATAAAAAAACTGATATAACAATGATTTTAAAGGATTGATTTTGTAATATATATATATATATATATATATTATTAAATATGTATTTGATTCAAATTATTTATCTAAAGACTCTTTTCAAAAAGTTAAATATGCCAAAAAGTAGTTCTTAAATGTTTTGAGACTCTTTCAAAACTTATGTTTCCTTTGTATTTTCTCTTCAAAAAAGGTTTATTCATAAGATTCTGGAATATAAAGTTTACGTGATTGTAAGTTTATTTCTTGTCTTAAAAGATTGATCAAATTAGTTAATTTGAGAAAAATTTTAGTATGAACAGCGAACGTAGATGTAGATTTTATTGAAAAATTTGAATCACTATAAAATAAATTATGTGTCAATTTTTCTTTAATATTTACAAAATCTTTCATCAATTTTATTTCCCGATACACCTTTCTTATTGGTCACATTCTTGATCAATTAACTTAACAGTCGGTATTAGATCCACACTCATTGTAAGGTCTAACAACCTTTTAAAAAGTTCTCAAAAGAGTTCAATCATCATCAAAGTCATTCAAGACTAAAAGTGGTAATCGGGTCATTCGGATCAGGTTATTTCGGGTTATGATTGCATTTAGTTTGGATTCGATTTGGTTTGGGTCATATCGGGTTCGAGTTAAGATTGGGTTAATAGAAATTCAATTCGGGTTGGGTCAAAATCGTGTCGGGTTAATCTTGGATAGGTTGGTTTCAAGTCAGGTCGATATTGAATCGGTCGTTTTCGGTTCGGGTCAAGCTTTATATTTTCAGGTCAATTTGAGTTGGTTTCGGTTCGGATCAACCTTTAGATTATCGGGTCAATTCGGGTTGGTTTTGGTTCAGATTAACCTTTAGATTTTCAAGTTAGTTCGGGTTGTTTTTGTTTAGGTCTTATGTCTTCACTCTTTGTCGTCTTAATCATCGGTCTTGTAACCCTAACAGACCGATAAGGGTAGCCCGATCCGATCCGGGAAGTTACATTAGGGCCACCGGAGCGACCCACTGTAAAAATAGCGGAAAATTTAAAACTTTTTATCAGAACATGTAAACTTATAAAATCAGTTTTCACTATTTAAAAAAAACATATTTCCAAACACGTATATAAATCAAAATATAATTACATGCCCCCTAATCACATATACCATACTCTGCAACAACGCCGGAAGAACTCCCTTACTGAAGTCGATAGATGCACTGGTACAATTCTTTTAACCTGAAAAAGTGAGCAATAGAGTGAGCTTCGAAAAGCTCAGTAATACAGAACTACCAGATGATGCTGAAAAACGTGCAGATACAGATAAACATATTTTCCTTATTGGTTCAGATATTTACAGATCTTTATGTTGAACTGAGGTCCATTGATATCGCATGTAAAACAAATAGTATTCATTTCAGATGGAAATATTTCGACTGTCTAGGTTCAGGAGATCAGAATAGGTTTTCTAGTGTGTTCCCAAAAATCATGTAACTTTTCAGATCTTTTTTTTAAAACATATATATATATACCCCCATCCGTTCACATCATAAATGTGTAGATTCCCCAGAACCATACACCCAACTGCACATGCCATTTAGACCCTGAGCACAAAGCCGAGGAGTCTGCAGATAATCTTCCTACAACAATAAACCCCCCAGATAAAACATTTCTCCGTCGGTAAACGGAGATATCAGAAATCAAAACAGAATTCAGATCAGATATCATAACAGAATCTAGATCAGAAATCAGAACAGAATTCAGGTAATGTATCATAACAGAATTCAAGTCGAAAATCAGATAAAATATTTATATGATTAGGGAACAAACCAGAGTTTACAGATATTATTCAGAGGTATTGGATAATCTTAACAGGTAGAGAAACATGAATCTTCAGTATACCGATAGGATATCGGAATTTAGAATCACTATTGGAAGAGTTCATTAACTGACAGAATCATCAGTTATTCAGAATGTGAATTATCAGGATCATATCTTATTCGGACAGTTTTTTCAGAAGCTGTACGTAATCAGAAGGGTATTCAGAATCCTTTGCATCCATGTCAATTGATCGGAATTCGAACAACTTGAGAACGAAGATTCAGAACCTTAATAATCTATGTCGACTGGTCAATTCATTTTCCTTCCAGGGTATTTACTCTTTAATACCACAAATTCTTGTTCATATATCATTTTCGAAATTAACGTTGAATAAATCTTCCAATGTCTTTATTTCATGTTCACGCTTTCACCATATCATGAAATACTGACGTACTTGATTTTGTAATTCATAATCCATAAGAACATTACATCATATATGTTCATTAACATTTCCAGATTCATCCAACTCACTTATTCAATCCTCAGTCCTTGTGGTTACTTAATTTATTTAGCATTCAAGTCCATTCCATATACTTCGGGATTTTCCAGAGTAATTCAAGTGTTCCTGATTTTCAGACACATGCTGCACTTCTGTTCCATTCAATTTGGTCTTTGTGGTTGATTTGTCGAGCAAACGTCCAATTTTTAGTACTGAATGCGATCCAGAGTTGAACTAAGTTGAATACTTCCAAAATTTATCATCGAGTCAAACTTAAGAAGACGAACACGCATTCCAGTAATATCTATGCCATTCAGGTATTGACATAGCTTTAGGGTTGATCTACTCACTTAAATTATGTTCGATTACTTTTAAAGGTAGGTTAATACCTATGCTTATTTGGATTCCTTAATTAATCCAAGGCATTTACTTGGTATAGGCCATGAGGGTATTTTGGTAATTTTGGTGTTCAGTTTTATTCCATTCATTTCAGAGCTCGAGGATGTCCAATCATTCCTGAGCTTGGTGATATTCTTGGGTCATTTCCATTACAGGGGTATTTTGGTCATTTTACAGATCTACGGTACTTCAATCTTTTCCTGTCATTCGATCTTATTATTTAATTCAATCTTATCATTTACTTCAGTCCTTTCGAACAATTCTAACAGCAAAATACCCCCGATAAATTACTCTTCAAGTATTTACTCATTATTCGAATATTTTCGGGTCAAGTGTCTTCTCAGATTTTACAAACGGAATATCATAAATTTTTCTGTACAAAGACAGGATCTTAACAATTAAATTCGTACTTAATCGAGTTAAGTACAAATCCTTAAAGTACATTCTCATTCAGGGTCAATTCAGACTATTTTATCTCTCAAGGGCATTTTCGTAATTTCTTAACTAGATAATTTCGATATTAGCTCTTAACGAAAATAATATAATATAGAGATCCTATGATTAATTGCTTCCTCGAACATTCTTTGATCTTGAAATGATTCCTTAAAAGACTTCTAGTATCTAGCATAAACCTTCTTGGGGTTAAAAACCGGTTATCCATAATTTCCAAGTAAAACTAACATTTCTTATGTACATCAATAGTTTTAGTAGATCAATAATTCTTTTCAGATTTATTAATCCACTTCCAGGGATAATTCTTGTCATTTTCCAACTTAAGGGTATTTTCGTAATTTTACCCTACCGGAGTATTATCATAATTTCTCATCCAAGTACTTTTAACATTTAACCTTTGATGAAATAAACTATAAGTTACAAACCCATATTGATTTCTTTATCACTAAGCACAGAACTTGTAATTTAATTCTAACAATCCCTTAATTTCTTATAAAAATCATCTGAATCATAATCAATTACTGAACCCTTTTATCGTATTCAGATCGAGTGTAGAAACTAATTAACTACACAAATGAGACCAACATTATCTTAATCATGCATTTACCAATATTCACATGTTCCATAAAGCATAAAGAGGTAGTAAAGTATTACCTTGATTTCTGTGCAATATTGATCGACCATAAAAATTCCATTCGAATGCCTTTGATCTTCAATTCAACTTCCAATAATTCCTCAGCATATCAACATAAATTATATCAGAAACAGAGCTTAATTACGATAAACGGATCGAATTGGGTGATAAATCACTGAAAGATGGCTTACCGGGTTCGAATTTGGCGAAACAGACTTCGGATTCGGATTCAGGACGTCGAAAGCATAAAATATGACTTTTCGAAAATTTAGAATTTTTGGTCAAAATCAAAGTCAACGGGTTTGACCGGCAATTTTGAGGCCTTCGGGTTCGAATTTCAAAAAACGGACAGCGGAATCGGATTTGGAACGTCGAAAAATGTCAGGATAGGTATACTCGGTCGAAGTCAAAGGTCGTTTAATACCCGGTCAAAGCCAGTCAAAGTTTTGGTCAACGACGGTAAA